GCTGGCTCCCTCGTTGGTGGCCTGCACCTGAGCGGAAGTAGCGTTGATTTGTTGGCTGGAAGACATTTCGAGTGGTGTTTTGGTGGGTAGGTTTGTGTTCAGGAGAAGAAACCTTAACGGTCCCACGGGTGGCGCCAAAAATGATGGTGTAAATTACTTGACCGGTCAAACTATACTAGACCGGGTCTAAAATAGTTTGCTTGATTTGGCAAAGTAAGAAAGGTAAAAACACGCAGATTGACCGGTAGGACTTTAGGTGGAACACCTGTAGCCCACTTTATATTATAAGGGAGAATGCACGGGTGCTTTTACAAGGGAATTTAGAGAGAGTGAATTCGGATCCCTCTTTCTGAGGTTTACATGAGTATTTATACTAGGCTAAGGGGACAGGACCACGTGCGCCCACGTGGGGGCATGCTGCCGATGTGGTGCGAGGTGACTGGTTTCGTCCTCAAGCTGCCTTGTCGCCTTGTGAAGGGGATCATTCCCTTTGTCAAGTAGTGCCTTGGATGGATTCTTCAGCATCTCCAGTTGTCCTCTACTGACACGGGTCGCTACACGCCAAATCCTCGCAGATCCTCTCCTGCCGACACTTTCCAACCCCAGAAACTACACCGGGTAATCTCCGAGGGATGAATTTATCGAAGTCTGGAATAAATAGGACGACATCGTAGTTTGACCGGTATACTTTTTGTGAGGTATACCGGTCATATTTTGGCCGACGATATGTCGTTTTGCTGACGATTTAAGTCTCCCTTTCAAAACTCTCAAGATTGACCGGTCAACTATTTGGCCTTCTTCTTTGACCGGTCGTGGGTGGAATACACCCATCACAATGAGTACTCCACCTCATTGCCTACAATTTTGAACTTGCCATTCCAATGGGCTAGAAGGATAAAGCTAGCAGGAGAGTCCATTTCTTTGAATGTGAAAAAGATTTGTGTGATTTATATTTGTGTAGTGAGAAATTATTATTTTGTGCCATAAATTTATACTAGAGTTAAGATATTGAAAATGTGTGGTAGTTGAGTAAAGTTAGGTGCAGTATATTGTTTAGTAGTTGAGAAAATTTATGTTAGGTGCAGGATTTGAAATAGATACAGGATTTGAGTTAAGTTAGGTGTAATAGTTGAGAAAAGTTAGATGGGTTAGGTGCAAGAGTAAATTTAGAAGTTACATTTAAAAATTTAAAACTCCACAACATTTAAATTTAAAAACTCTAAATAAATTACATACATAGAAATTTAAGAAACAAATCAACTTTGTTTTGATTCTATTTTAGTAATTTTCTCAAAAAAAAATCATCATAGTTTGATTTTTTTGCCTCTTTGAACTCAAATTAGATATAATGAACATAATAAATTGAATTTTTGGCTAAAAGCTTATATTAAATAATAGAACAAAAAAATTTAAAGAAATTGAATATTTTTTTTTAAAGTAGAAATTGAATATAATATACGTTGAATATTAAATTTAAGTTCCAAAGTTTTAAACAAATTTAACAAAATAAAATACATACTCGTACTCCGTGTGAAAAAATGCCAAATTGGGTGAGAAAATGCCATTTTAGGTACAATGGGTACTGTTCATCGGGTACAAAGAGTACTGTTCATCTGATTTTCGTGTACTGTTCATCTGGCTTTGGTGTATTGCACTGATTGGGAATCCTTTTTCAAAATGTTCACTACTTGGGAATTAATTCTAAGTGGAGAGTCAAGGAGAATATTTCGTATAAATAATAGAGGGGGGCGAAGGAGAATGAATGGATCGCACGGCTAAGCTCTTACCGTAATCAGTTAGACTTGTGATTAATCCACTTAATTACTGTAATTTGCAACTATAATGTCGCCGGCGGCAACAGTAGCACTCTGTAACTATCATCTCTTCAGCCTTTTCTTCATCACCTCTTCTTCTTGCTTTCCACTCTTACTATTATTCCTTGCTCGCTCCTCGGAAGGGGCAGCCTCCGGCGACGGCGGCGCACTCAGCCAGACTGCGGCGGCGACTGCTAACTTCCGCACTGCTCCGCTCACGTCTCTCCTCCCTCCCACCACGTGCCGCCCACCTTCACCCAATGCTAATAAAGGTCAGTAAAGAAAACATTATAGGTAGTTTTTTTTTTTGGAATGCTAAGGTTAAAAGTTGGAAGACCACGGTTCCATGACCACTGGATTCCAGTGGTCACGTAAGCCACTGCCTTCCTACGGAGCTTCGTTCATAAAATTGATGATTCGTGCCCCTCTAACCTCCCGGTAAACCCCCCGCCAAGTCTCGATCCATACTAATCACCTTACCTACGTCAATTGTACTTCGTAAGTATAATTGACTTTAAAGTCAAAAGTTTTAACTTTATACTTATGAAGTGCAATTGACGTATACTTACGAAGTGCAATTGACGTAGGTGGGGTGATTAGTTTGGGTCGGGACTTGGCGGTGGGGTTTACTGGGAGATTAGGAGGGGTAAGAATCATCAATTTTATAAACGAAGCTCCGTAGGAGGGCAGTGGCTTCCATGGCAACTGGAATCCAGTGGCCATAGAACCGGGCTCAAGTTGGAATTGTTTCAAAACTTTAACATTTCATCCTTGATTTAATAAAAGTACTCCCCTGTTCATTAATTTCTTCTTATTTAATTCTTAAATGTCTTCAATGCAACAATTTGATTTTAAAACTGGGTGGCGCTGAGTTTCAAACTCGTGATCTCTTAGTCGACAAGGCTCTGATACCATGTCAATGAACCAACTCAACCAAAAGCTCAAGCATGTGGTTGTTGACCCAAGAAATGTTTCTTATATTCTAACACATTTATATTAGATAGATGAAATAATAATAATAATAATAAATACCCTCACAATAAGAATAATAAGTCAAAATAATTATGATATGGAGTAATATAATGGCTCATGTGAGAGATACCTCAATTTGTTAGCAAAAGAAACACAAGTGTCTATGTGAAGAGAAGCACTTGTGTTTGTACAAAGGAGATGCATTTGTGTATCTATTTGTCTTTGGTGAATAATCTATTTGTCTTTGGTGAATAATTTAGGTTCAAATTGAAATATTCTTGTATTTTTTATTACATTCGTCCCTTATTAATTGTCTAGTTTTTATTTTTTATAGTTAATCATTTTCAATATTTGATTTCAAATTAAATAAAAATGGTTTCGTATTTTTATATGGATAAAAAATTATTTTAAATTTATTTTATTAAAAAAAACTAATAATATTATTTTATATCAATATCTAATATAAACTTTATTTAATTAGTGATAAAATTTATCGATTTTTATAAATAAAAAATTAAAAACAAATAAATAGTCAGAGAAGGATATTTGGTACTCATAGGATTGAGCTATGTGTACCCCAACATTTATACCCCAATTTGTACCCCGTAGGTTTGCACCAATATTTTATGTTGGTGTAAAACTATTTTTTGTTAACGCACCAACACTTTGTGTTCGTGTAAATTTTTGTTAACGCACATACACTTGTATTAGTATAAACTATCAAAATGTTTGTGCATAACTGTATTGTACAAATGAGGTACATTTTTTTGTGTAAATGTAGCATGGTCCCTCCTAATATAATACTCCCTGACTCCCTGTGACTGAATTCAGCTATTGGCCCACGATTTGGAAAGGCATTCCAATCAATTTTGACGAAACCTTGAAGTGGGAAAACTTGTCTCCTTTAATTTGTTTTCTATGCAACTTGTCACAAATATTTATGAGGAATGCTCGACTAAACCAAATAGTCTTGTCCATTTGTCTCCGACTCATTTTTCCACCATACAATTTTTTTAATTTTTTTTTTTTATATTTTCTTGCCTTTTTTGTGGTGATGGAGGGAGTGAGGGACAAATGAGTTACACCAAAGATGTACCCCTAGCATTTTTCAATATTTATAGTTTTGATTTATTGCAATTAAAAGTTAAAATTGACAAATTTCAAACATAAATTTAATAAAGACATACTCTCTAATTCGAAAAACAATACTTGTTTGCTATCTCAGATTTTTATCAAATCATACTCCATACATTTTAAGTGTTTGATTTAAATATTGGAAAATTATCAACATTTAATTTAATATTTTCAAAATAATTTACACTTTGGAAAAGATATGCAAAACTTTGAAGTATGAGATATTTATATTTATATATAAATAAAGATATAAATAGTCAAAACATTGCATAAAGACCGTAAAAACAACAAAAATTTTTACAGAACAAATTATATTAAAAATATTTTATTTTATCTAATAATGAATGAAAACACGTAAACAAACAAATGTTATACTAATATTGAGTAATATAACAGTCCTGAGTATATCATTTTTGTTTCACTCCTATATCAACAATTGTTTATGCGAATAAAACCACTTCAGGTTTGAGAGGAGGAAGAGCCGCATCGTTGAAGGTTGTTCACATGCATGGGCCCTGCTCACCACTTGACCAGGCCGCTCCGACACTGACCCAGATTCTCACCCAGGACGAGTTGCGGGTCCACTCAATTCACGCTCGAGTCAACTCAGACAAGACCAATCCCCTCCGCGACTCGTTGAAGAAGAAACGCAGCGACCCAGTCGCCCACTCGAAGGCCAATGTCCCCGCCGCACGCGGCACCGCCCTCGGCAGCGGCAACTACATCGTCTCCGTCGGCATCGGCACCCCTAAGAAGAGCCTCTCCCTCGTCTTCGACACCGCATCGGCACCCCTAAGAAGATCCTAAAGTGCTACAATGGCTCGAGGATATATTGAATAATGTAGAAACCTTATGTAAACAAGAAATTATCTTTCGATTTGAATCTCAAGAATGTTCATATTTTCTTGAACCTACGTGTGTTGAAACCATTGTATAATGAAATCTTTCATTTGACCCATCTTGAGAAAATGTTTGATATTTATATGATGCATTCTGATGTTGAAAATAGATATTTTTCTGACTTGCACTGGCCATGCAGCTTAGAATAATATTTATGGTTAACTCATAATGATCATGGACAATATTGTTCCAACATAAATTCAACTGAAATTACATAAAGTAATATTACAAATGCAAGTCTAACTCCAATGCCCCAGGATTTACAAATTCGTCATAACTAGCCCCAGGACCCGGAAAAGCTTTAGCAAACGCTAGCTTGTCTAAAAGCTCATCAATAAAGAAAGAAGAGATGAAAAGTTTTCTCTGACTAGAAGCCATGAAGTTCTGCCTCACTGCGTCATCTAGAAATTTGATTAGGTTATTAAAATAACTGTCAATATTCAAGAGACCAATGGGTTTACTGTGCAAGCCTTCAGATGCCCATGAGATCAAAGTGAACAAACCTTCCATAGTATCAATCCCTCCAGGAAGTACGATGAAGGCCTCCACTACATGATTCATCTCGAAATGCTTATAGTAATTGCTTGAAACTGTGTATTCTGCACCATACGTAGGTCCGTAGACCTGTCGTGCTGCTATGTACCCTGGTATGAAGCCTCTAACTATACCACCATTGGTATAGACTGTTGAAGCAACAGCTCCTTGAAGGCCAACGTTGCCTCCTCC